TTCTAAAGGGGGTTTTGCAGACACAGAACCACCAACAGCAGACAACAACTGGAGATTAAGACATATGGCAACATCACCTGGAAATCACCCCAGACAAAGAAATATCAAAAAAAAAAACCCTACAAGATGGAAAATAGGGAACCAGAGATACCAATTTGTAGATGATGATAACTACAAAGCAAAAAGAGGGAATAAATGATGTGGTTACAGAACTTCCAAATGAATAGGAAGTGAAGAGGATATCAAGAAAGAAGGAACTGCTTTAAACTTGGGAAAATGATAATAAATACAGTGTAACCTCAAAGAAAATAATAAACCTCCACACCAAAATAAAAAAGAATTATAAACTCTCATTAAATACTAAAACAATATCAATGAAAGAAATAATGAGAAAATCCATAAACAAAATGAGCTCAGCACAGAAGAATATATGCAACAAAGAAACAATCAACACCACCACAAACAGCAAAATGGCAGCAGTAAATTCATACCTAATAATAATTACATTGAAGGTAAATGGATTAAAAACACCAGTCAAGAGACAGAGAGTAGCAGAATGGATAAGAAAACATGAACCAACAATATGCTGTCTACCAGAGACACACCTTAGACACAAAGATGAAAACAAACTAAAAATCAAAGGTTGGAGAAGAAAAAAAAATCAAACAAATGGCAACCAAAAAAAAAGTAGGCATGGCTCTTTTTTATTATTATTAACCCAATAAAATAGACTTCAAAGCATAAACCACCAAAAGAGACAAGGGAAGGACATTATGTAATGATTAAAGGGTCAATTAAACAAGAGGAAATAACCATAATAAATATCTACATACCCAGTGAAAGAGCCCTAAAGTACATAAATCACACTTTAATAGAACTGAAAAGAGAAATAAATAACTGTATTTTCAATGAAGGACAAAACTAGAAAGCAGTTTATCAAAAATACAGAAGATCTAAACAACACAGTCAACCTCACAGATGTGTACAGAGCATTTCACCTAACAACAGCACAATATGCATTCTTTTCCAGTGCACATGGAACTTTCTCCAGAATAGACCATGTGTGAGGCCATAAAGCAAGCCTCAATAAATTTTAAAAGACTAAAATCTTTTAAAATCACAATGCTATAAATTAGAAATCAACAACAGGAAAATAAAGGGGGAGGGGCACAAACCATGGAAACCAAAGAAAACCCTGCTTAAAAACTAGTGGGGAATAGAAGAAATTAAAAATAAAAATTCTGTAAATTTTCTTAAACATACTAAGATCTTTGGGACACAGCAAAAGCAGGGCTCAGAGGACAATTTATAGCAATAAATGCTCATATCAAAAAATAAGAAAGAATCAAATCAACACCTTAACCCAACATCTCCAACTATTAGAAAAAGAACAGCAAAAAAAATAAAATAATAAAACAACTCACAGTCACCAGAAGAAAGGAAATAATAAATATTGAAGCAGAAATAACAGAAAAAATAGAATCAACAAGACTGAAAATTGGTTCTTTGAAAGGATTAATAAAATTGACAAACCACTAGGAAATTTAACAAATGAAGAAGATGCACATAACATGAATAAGAAATGAAATAAGCAATGTCACAACAGAACCTAATGAAATGAAAAGGATAATAACAGACTACTCTGAAGAACTATAACAAATTTGAAAACCTAGAAGAAATGGACAGATTTCTAAAAACACACTACCTACCCAAACTAATACAAGCTGAGATAGAAAACTTGAACAGATCCATCACAAAAAGGAAACTGAACAAGTCATCTAAAAAATAAAATAAAATACCTCCTAACAAAAAAGCTCCTGGCCCAGATGGCTTCACTGGGAATTCTACCAAACATCCAGAGAAGAGCTGACGGTAGGTAATACTATTCAAACTATTCCAGAATATAGAAAACGATGAAATACTACAAAACTCATTCTATGAAGCAAACATAACCCCGATACCAAAACCAGCCAAAGACATAACTAAAAAAGAAAATTACACACCAATATCCATTGTGACATTGAGGCTAAAACTCTGCAAATATTAGCCAATCAACTCCAACAACATACCATAAAAAATAATAAAACATCATAGCCAACTAGGATTCATGCCAGATGTGCAAAGAGGGTTCAACATTAGAAAAACAATCAGCATAATCCACCACATCAATAAAACAAAGGAAAAGAATCCCAAGATCATACCAACTGACACAGAACAGACATTTGACAAAATCCAACACCCATTCTTGATAAAAATGCTTAGCAAAGAAGTAGAAAGGAAATTCTACAACATAATTAAGGGCATAAACACAAAACCAATGGCGAGAGACTGAAAACATTCCTCTTGTGAACAGGACCCAGACAAGGATGCCCTTTATCACCACTCCTATTCAACATAGTATTGGAAGTCATAGCCAGGGAAGTAAGACAAGAAAGGGAAATAAAAGGCATCCACATTTACAAAGAAAAGGTAAAACTAGCTTTATTTGTAGATGATATGCTCCTATACATAGAAAATCCTAGAGACTCAACAAGGAAACTCCTGGCACTAATTGAAGGCTTTAGCAAAGTATCAGGGTACAACATCAACATACAAAAATCAGTAGGATTCCTCTACACTAATAAAGAGAACTCTAAAAAGGAATTCAGAAAAACAATTCCATTTTTAAGAGCTACCCAAAACATGAAGTAATTAGGAATAAATTTATCCAAAGGCACAAAAGACCTAAACAAAGAAAACTACAAAACACTATTAGACTTCCAGTAAGATGGTGGGATAGGCAGACAAGCTACATAGACCCTCTTCAACCAAGAAGAGAAACCAATTGACTTAGATACAGTAGATAAGCCCTGAGCTTTGAAAGAAAGGTACAGAAGTGGATTAAACACCAACTAGTAGAACCTGAATGAAAACAGTAAATAAGGAGAAAAACAGAGCTCTGGGCTGTCAGCTATCCTTACAGTACAGACAGTCTCAATATCTCCAAGTGGTGTTAGGACCTGAGAATTAACCTAAATATCGTCCCTGCTCACCAAGGGCTGCGCTGGTGGCTGATGACTAAAAAGGGAAACAGCAAAGAAGGAGACAAACTGAGCTGTGGACTTTCAGCTATTTGGAGGGTACAGCCATTTTGAATGTTTACCATTGGCAGCCATTTTGGATATTTAAAGTGACAGTGTTCTTGTTCAGATTCCAGGGACCTAAGAATAGGCTCCGCTTGCCAAGGACGGCACAGACATGAAAAGGGAGACAGGTGGTGAGTGAGTAAGTGCTGCCAACTAATGAATAGAGGAGTGCAATATCCTGCTTACTCAGACACATCCAAACAAAAAACAAACTCACTGCATTTGCCTAGAAAAGCAGGAGGGAATGAGAAAGAAGGATAAAGGGAAGGGGTGTGCGCAGGGAGAAAGTGGGAAGAATGCTGTTATAGTGTGGGGATTGCAGTAAATGTCACAAAACAGAATGTGTATGGATTGTTGAATGGAAAACCAGTTTCCTCTGTAAACTTTCACCAAAATCACAAAAAAAGGGACAAAAAAGATAAAAGTCATAAAACAATTTGTACATTTTGACCTAATAATCCAATTCCCACATGTATACAAAAAATAAGTACAAAAGGGGCACACATGAGTTTTCATATAGCGAGCACACTCCACTTCTAGAGATTTGGTGCTGGGAAATACTCTCCTAAACAGAAAAGCTACATGCCTAAAGATGTTCACACAGTGTTACAGTAAAAGAGTGGGAAAAAAGCTAAATGTTTGGCAGAGGAATGATTAGGTAAGTCTTGGCACATAAACTCTATGAAAGATTATGGAGCCAGGAAAAATGTCAGTTTCAAGAACTGTAGAACAAAATCCACAAACCCAAATGCCTGGAGCCAGGCAGGTAGGAGAAATACGGGAAACAGCCTAGGATAAGATGCTAATGAGTGGGGGTGGGAGAGGGTTAAGGACAGTTATAAAAGGAAAAGTAGAAAGTGCAGACCCTACCTAAAGGCTTCACACTCCATTTTTAAAATAATAATAAATAAAACATGGTGCTGACCATACAAAGCATGTCATAGGCCTCATTTGTGATGCTTGCTGGAAACAGGAGAAATGAGCATAACCCAGTACTAAATGTGGAGATACAATTGTAATAATGCAAAGATTGTGTCTATATATGGACAAAGACTGCAGGTATATACAGAAAAATAAAGGTTGGCCTTAGTGGGAAGTTGGCTTAATTATGTGACAACTTTAAACCTCAGTTTCTTCATCTGCAAAAAAAGGATTTTAAAAAAATACTTCCTTTAGAAAGCTGTTACAAGGTTTAAAAGCATAGAAAAGTGCCTGGCACGCTTAATAAAACAATTCTTCTTTCCTTCTTTTTCCTCCTCCGTATTGTATTATGATTATTAGCTGCTTCTCTGATTTTATTTTCTACCAGCCTCTTTCCTTTTCTTCTCTCAATTCCAGGCATACTAATCTTATTAATAGTTCTGCATAATAAAATGTTTTAACCTTAGATCCTAAATTCTCTTCCCCCACTCTTTGCCTGGGTTGATTTCTCAGTTCATGGAGCTTCTGCTCAAATGACACCTCCTCAGAGAGGATGTCCTTGTACCCCCACCCCTTCTCAGTTTCTCATCCAACTTTATTTTTTGTCATTGCACTTAGCACTACCTGACATTTTATTATCTATCTAGCTATGTATTTCTGTTTATTCTCTCTCTGCCTTAGAAGGAAAGTTCCATGAAGGCAGGAATTTCTCTATCTTGTTCACTTCTGTCTTCCCAGTTCCTAGAAGGGTGTCTAGCACATAACAGACATTTAGGAAGATTTTGTTGAATATTGTTGAACTTTTACGGTGGAGACATTGCCCCTTATTTTTCTTCTCTTTTTTTAAAATCTCATGGTTGCAATGTTATTTTTGTAATGAATGATTTTAAAATGCATTGTTCTTACAGGTGACTTCAATGTGTAACTCTCCATCATCTTTGACTTGTTTGGCAGATCAGCTATGCAGAAACTGGGAGCAGAAGTATTTGAAGAGGTCTATAATTATCTCAAGAGAGCAAGGCAGCAGCACGCCAGTGAAGCAGAAATCCGGGAGTATCTAGAAAAACTGGTGCCTCACGCCAGCGACTGTTTTGAGGTTGACCAACTCCTCTACTTTGAGGAGCAGTTGCTTATCACAACAGGAGAAAAGGCTACGCTCCAGAACCTTTGGCGAGCGACTGTCAAAACAAGCACATACTGAAGTGGACAAGCTGAACACATAGGCTGGACTCCATTATGGAAAATGCGTACATCACTGGAGCTGCCACCTTCATTTTCAAATCCTTGTCATGGCAAGTAATGACTCGAGTTTGTTCAGTGGCCACACTGTGTCAGAGTAGACCTGTGCTCCATAGGATTTGCAGTGGCTGATTTGTCAGAAGTAGATCACCAGGGCTTTCTTCCAAGGTGCCTCTGGGTGAACTTGAACTCCGGCCTTTCAGTTAGCAGCTGAGCGTGTTAACTGGGCTACCCTAGAATTCCATTTAGGAAGTAGAAATCATGTCTGCCTATACTCTGAGTGTTGTTTGGTTTGCATCCTGAGAGGCTTATGGATGACTTCGGCTTCTTGTAAAGCATTTCCCCCATGGATTCCCTTGGGGGTTCCAGCAGGCTTGGCCAGTGATGGCCTGGGAGAAGCCTTGTGCTCTTTACCATTTCCATTTGGGGGATAGAGTTCAGTGCCTGACCCCTTGGGTCTCAGTGGACTGTGGCCAGCCTGCTCACAAGGGTCAGTGGACATTGGCCTTTGGCCTCAGATATACCAAGCAATTGCTCAGGAGTCAACCATACCTGTCTCAGGTGGCCACATGACTAACATGCAAGAAGTACCTATATAAAAGGATTTGGAATAAAATGCCAAAACATGATTTCCTCCTGTGATTTCTTCCCCAAACTCATCCCTTCAGCATTGAAGACATTTATTCAACTATACTATTTTGTATAGTTACAAAGTAAATTACCTATTTTATCTTTTCCATATCCAAAAGTACCTTGTTGACTATCGCACATCCATCTAATGATAATTATCACTCTAATTTAAAAAAAAAAAAAAAACTGCCATTGAATCAATTCCAACTCATAGTGACCCCCATAGTGTTTCCAAGGCTGTAAACCTTTATGGAAGTGGACTGCCTCATCCAGAACAGTGGTTGATGGGTTCAAACTGCTGGCCTTTTGGTTAGCAGCCAAATGCTTTAACCATTGTGCCACCAGAACTCCTTCACCACTGGGCCACTGGTTCTCAAATTTGATTTCCATCAGAATCATCTGGAGGGGTCAGACTTTCCTGATTCAGAAAGTCGGGGTCAGGACCTGAGGATCTGCATGTCTAACAAGTTTCCAGGTGGTGCTGCTACTGATTTTGTGAGGACCACAGAGCCACTGCTTAAGACCCTCTTTCTAATGACTGCCTCTCTTCTCTCATTATTTTAAGCAGTGGTTTTGTCTGCTCTATAATGGGGCTTACAATTCAGCTTACCTACATCTCTGAAGGTGGTATAAGGAGTGGGAAGTAGGCCCTAATGACTTCAGCTGCCTCACATTGAGTACTTTTAAATTACAAGTGGTGAGAAGTCCAGGTGTGACTAAGAGAACTTGATGGGTTCATTTTAAGGACAAGGGAGCATGGCCACTGTGGCACCAAGGCTTTGCCTGCCCCATGACCTTACCCCCACTTCTCCCCAGCAACTAGAGGAACCATGGGGGTGCCCAGGTGAACCCACAACTTCTGTGGTGTTCAAGAACTTGTGAACATCACTGTTGCATTTCACTTCAATTCCTGGTTTCTCCTTTACATTATGGAGAGTCTGCACCCTGCCTATTTCCAAAGCCCCCTCTCCATCACTGTACACTGGGAAATTGGTCCTGCTGAGAGATGGGAGTCATGTTGGTGTTTTCACAGCCCCTCTAAGTGTCTGATGCAGGAAAGGCAGTCCTCAAATATTGACTCAAATATAGGGTTATTGTCTGAGATTTTTCAGAATTCTGAACTTGAGCATGTTATCCAAACAAAATCCATGACCCATGACTGTCCCATGGTAGACCATTGAAAATCTGGTTTGTCTGGGAACTACAGGGTGGTGAGGCCTGTGACCACTCCACTACTGGAAACAGGCATGAAAGTTTCCATTGTGTTAACAGGGAGAAAGACCTAATCTCCAGGAAGAGCTCCCTTTGGCCCATGGCCTTTTTGGCCATTCAGATTTCAAATGGGTATGGAAGAAGGGTGTGCTCATAGCACCCAAGTTAATGAAAGTTTCGGAATCTCCTTGCTAATACTTTTTATAACCTTAGGGCAGAAGAATACTTCTGTAATTAGCTTAGGTCAGAAGGGGAAATATGTAGATATTCACATAGGCTCTGCCATCTTGCACATATGAACATGTCCAGGGAACAATACCTCAGGTTTAGATGTTTCTAGGAAGACAGATACATATTGAGAACATCTCACCCTCTGGACTTGCACTATATACCATATCAGGCTTTTAAAAAAAAAAAGGAAAACTGAGACTTAACGTTTTGGATCACAGTCCCATGCTTTGTGTAGAAACTCATCCACGTTTACAATTCACTTGGCTTACTGATGGGAATGCAAGGTTTAAGAAGATGACTAGAAGAAAATATCTTTTACTATTACCATTGGAAAAATGCTTTCTCCTTCAGCCATTCCCAGTCTTAATTCTGGGAGCTCTGGTAGCATAATGCCTAAGGCATTTGACTGCTAACCAGAAGGCTGGCAGTTCAAATCCACCAGTCACTCCTCAGAAGAAAGGTTGGGCAATCTACTTCTGTAGTGATACTGCCTCTGAGTCAGATCTGACTCCACGGCAGTGAGTTTGGTTTCTCTGTCTGGTGTAGGTATTAATAACAAGCCAAATTGCAAGATGGTAATGGGAAATCATCTGGGAAGGAAAAGAACTGGGAAGTTGCTTGTTATGATACAGTCATAGATGTAAAAGAATAAAGGAACCTTGCTAGCCTGCTGCTTTTTAAAAATATATATATATTTCACAAATGCCAATTGACCTTTTTGCTTCTTATTTATGCTGAGGAAATGCCACCAGCTATTTTGGGTGATGCAGAGATAAGGCACACAAAAGAGAGAGATGGAAGTTAATTATTTAATGTCTTTGGAGCTGAGACTGGAGCAAAAGCTCAAGGTGTATTATAAAAGATCCAGCTATCACAGTGGGCCTGGAAAGATAAAGGAAGCATACAAATTAAGTAGTAGCTCAAGGGGTAAAAAAAAAAAAAAAAAAAAACCGAACCACATTCCTCTTTCAAAATGATGGGATCACTAACTAATGTGTCTGAAAGGAATGGGACCAGGCCACCATGGCATGAAAGAAAGGAGCAGAGATGAAGCAAAGAGAAAGGAGGGTGTGTGTGTGTGTATTTTTGTGTGTGTGTGACACAGACAGAAACAGGCCAGCTAGGGATGGACATGCAGTAAAAGTGTTTTAAAAATACAACAGTTTTGTAAGGAAAAAGAAATTTCACTTAACATCAGATGACTTGGAATCTGGACCAACTCTTGCTATTCACTCAGTGATCTAGGGAAAATCATTTTCTCTGAGTTTCCTTCCTATGTCAGAAGACTGCTATAAAGAACACATAAGATAATGCAATATAGGTGAAATGACATGAAATGGCCAATGAAGTGCAGAAGTGTTTTAACTGCTATAAAGTGCTATAAATTTTGTGAGGAATTAGTAACTCCATTGTCAGACTGCCTGTTCTTCCACCATTGCAGATTCATCCCTCAAGACTTCCATAGGCTTCTAAGACTATTACCATGCAAACACATGCAAAAGATACAACACATCTAGCCATCTCCAGCTAGCACTTGACTAGATATTAGCTGACAGTCAGCTTCAAGCTGAGAGAACCATGAAGCAAGAAGTTCGAAAGGCAAGTGATTAGGCTCTTAGGTCCAGCTTTGCCTCCTGCATGGTTCCCCATGTCAGATTACCCAATGAGCAAGGTAAGCACTGTCTTACTTGTGCTTATCTGTAGTGAACAATTTCATATTTTTCACCACATCAAAGATTGTGCTTCTAGGTATGGCTGGCATCTGTCTCTCCCTCAACCCCACAGCACCTTCCTACAGAATCAAAGCCTCTTTTCAAATTTACAGTCTCTGACAGGGATGGAGTACCCAGTTAGCAAGGTAAGCACTTACTAATCTGTAGTGAGCAGTTTCACACGTTTTTCACCACATCATGTGTAAGTAAGCACAAGTAAGCCCTTGCTTGCCTTGCTTATTGGGTACTCTGCCCAATCAGTGCCTCAACCCATTCTCCGTTTCATTAACCTGCCTCTGCGACTCCAAAGTAAGCATCACCACCGGAATCTTAAGGACACTCAGTTGCCCCAGAACTTCACGAGGAGATTCAAAATTTGGTCCAACAAAAATGCACTCTTGAATTCCTTAAGAGGACCAGAGTCATTAAAATGCACGTAGAATTGGACTTTTGTCTCTAAAAATATTTTCAAAGTAGGTTTGTAGGTTTAGTTTGGGGGGCAATTTTTCAACAGCTAGAAACTTTTTTTTTTTCTTTCTAAAATATTGTAGCATTTTCCTGCTTTGATAGATTGAGTTTTTGGTTCCAACTCACCTTTCCATGTACCCTGACAGCTGCCTTGTGACTTTATAGTCCTGCCTCTATGGGAGTAGTTTTTCCCCACTCTTTGATTTAAAGTTTGGCCACAGAACTTGTTTTGGCTAAGGAGCAATGCACTCAGGGGCTAGAAGTATGTGTGTGCAGTTGGGTATGTTCTCTTACACCTGTGCCATCACCAGCTAGCTCACTAATCGTGGGAGGAGCATGACAGCTTGTGTCACAGAGCCACTCCAGCCACCCCAGCCAGAAGAAAGGATAGCCATTGTAGGTGATCGGCAAACTCCTGAGCAAGAAACAAATATTTGTCAGCTGCTCAGATTTTGTGGTTGGCTGTTAAGTAGCATTACTGTGGCAATTAGCTAAACAATGGACCTTCCTTCTCCTGACATCACTACTAGACCATTTATCTAACATCTTTTATCAAATTTTGGGGCTTCATTCTTTTGGGGATTGAGTTTACAAATGTAGGGGGAGAGTTTATCTCTTGATTGAATGACTTTGTGGCTGCTTGGGGGGTGGGGGGTGGGAAACATGATACCCTTTCTCAAAATGGCCTAGATGAACCATTAAACTCTGT